GGGAAAAAACCTGCCTATCAAGAAAAATTCTTTTCTGATTAAAAAAAAAAAAAAGCCCCACATTGTTTAATTGCCATATTGAAGCCCTTTCTGATGAGTTTGATTTTGTAGAAGAGGTTTTATCATAGATATGTGGCACTTGCAGTATTTAACTTTATAGACTGAAATACTGTGTTCCATATCTTCTGGTGAATCCATGTTGTCGGTTAATTTTGTAAGTGTTGTGTCTGGACATAATGGAGGCCGGTCACAGCGACTGCTAATACTGTGGCTCCAGACACTTAAAACCAGCTGAACTTAAACAACCCCCCCCCCGATGATGGCAGCTGTGTCTGTTGGTCCTTGTTATTTTGTAATATAGTTAATTATGACTATCTGATATGTTAACCGTCACCTGGCTAGGAATTGCATTTCTCTCTGGGAACAATTAAAAAAATTAAAATGATGAAGTAATGTTTTGAGACTTTAAATTTGTAATAGTAATATTACATCAATAATTTTTATATTTTCCTGAAGAACAAAATTGCTGTGTAATTGTGTTTATTTCCAAAACGGCAACCTTATATGCATTTTCATTTGGCAACAAAATACATGCAAATGTACTAAAGCGGATGTTCTTCATACATGCCACTACAGGCAAAGCCTCTGATCATGAAGCACAATAATTTATGCTAGCATTTCAAAGTACGTCATTTAATCTCATCAGTAAGGTAAATATTTAACTTGGACATCCAAGTCATGACAACAAAAAGCTTTCAACCACACAAACAGTTCTATGAAGTTTACACTCTCACATGTTGTGAAGAGGTATCGGCATTCAAATGTGCATCTAAAAGTAAATTATCTGTACAGAAAATGGGTTGGAGGGTTAACGGTGTAAATCACATTGAAGTCAAGAGGTGGATTTAATCAGTCAGTTCCTCTTTGTCCTTAACAAATTTCATAAACAAAGATAATCACATTTGTGCACATGAATCTCTGGCTCACTTGGTGTTGTCTGAAGTCTCTGATGTTCTGTTAAAAAGAGTGAGATGCTTGGATCATTCTTGGTAGCTCAGATAGCAGGGACGAACCTTTCCATATTCCCTGCGTACGTGGGGTGTCTCAGGTAACCCCCAGTGTTACCCATAGGACCTGCAGCACTGTTATACTGGGAGAAGGAACCCAACTGCACAGGGGAGACCCTGCCATAATGGTTCATGGCCTCTGCAGACCCATGGGCTGAGGCATGGAGGCGTCCTGTCGCTGCATACCCCTGGGTGGGGCCCTGTCCATATGAGCTCTGGTGGACATGGTGGTGTGGATGGCTGTTTGGGCCAGAGTAAGTGAACCCAGAATGTGTAGAGGAGCGGGGCGGCACAGCCCCTCCACATGGTTGGCTCTGGAAAGCAGGGACTGCCAGGCTGCACTGTCCGGCTCCGTTCGGAAGGCCTTCAGGGCTGTAGTTGCGGCTGGGCTGCTGATTTGCCTCTGACGTTTGACCTCCCAGCATGCTAGCTGGATTTGGGTGTCCTATGAGATTATTGATGCTAAACATGCGTGTCTGACCAGGTCCAAACCCAGGAGGCGATGAGGATGGGTAGTAGGTAGATGGCAGCTGCTGTCCATAGGTTGGACTGACTGTCATGTTGGGGTAGACTGAGTTGGTATATGCAGCTGATCTGGCAATCTGGACAGGAGCGAAAACTGGAGTCTCATGCACATAGGAGGCATAGGTGCTCAAGTCACATCGTTTAAACCTCTTCCTTCGCCTCAAGAAGCTGCCGCTCTCAAACATGTCTTCTGCATTTGGGTCCAGTGCCCAGTAGTTACCCTTTCCTGGCCGCCCTGGCTCTCGAGGGATCTTGATAAAGCAGTCGTTTAGAGTCAAGTTATGGCGAATGGAATTCTGCCATTTTTTTGAATTGTCTCTGTAGAAGGGGAAGCGCTCTGTGATGAATTTGTAGATGCCCCCCAATGTCAGTTTGCGATCAGAAGAGTTGGCTATGGCCATGGAAATGAGTGCGATGTAGCTGTAAGGAGGCTTTCCTCGCTGAAGAGGTCTCTTTCTCCGCCTGCCTCTGGGCTGCTCCTCTGTCTGTGGTGGAGGGTCGGAGGCAGTCGAGGTGTCTGCTGAAGATTCTTTTTCCACTTTGACCACAGGCATTGTCATGGACTGTTGGAAAATTTACCAGAAAGCAGATTACAGAGTTATTCTTCTGCAAATATTGCGCAGTCTTGGCACTTCCCCAGTGCGTCTGCAAAAACAAATTAGATCCTGGGCACTTGAAATTGGGGAAAAAAAGAGCTCTTCCTCATACGCAATCCTGCCAGAAAAGTCACACTGGTGTTTAACAACACTGTCTTTGAGTCCAAATGCAGCTTCTCCACAAAATCCTGTTTCATTAACTGCAGTGCTTTTTCCCACAGTTTATCAGGTTAAGTTCACGAGTTAAAGCGAGAGAGTGCCAAGCGTGGTGTTTAAAGGTGTGTGTGAGAGAATGAGTCACTCAGTGTTACCTGGAGAGCATTACCTTTGCAGAGCAGCTGAAGGGCTACGCCCCCCAAGCATCACATGCTCTTGACATACCTCAGCTTTATAAGGGTGTATTGTTCATGTCCGACAAAGTCTGCATACTTTGATGGTAGAAATTTCTGTTTTGTCTTTTGATAAATCTTAATGTAACTGTGATAAATGGCTAATATCTTGAAATGGAAACAAATAATTGTCCAAACCAGAATCTACTTTCCTGATTAAAAACTTTACTGTTATTTAAAAAAATTAACAATTTTCAATTTTTACCTTTTATTACCTTTTTAGTTTTAACGAGCAAACAATCATTTAGAACAGTGTTTAGTTTAATAAACCAGAACGGTTAGTTTTTACTCTTATTATTCAAATTCACCTTTAATGCCACCCTCAGTTTATTTAAAAAATCCAAAATGGTTCACATTGTTTTGACTTTTAACACTAAAATACCTCATTAGTGGTAACTTCATCTACAAGTTGTTTTTCTACCTCGCTTCCTTGTTTTTTTTGGGCCAGTGGTTGGACAAGCCAGCTGTGTTAAGAGATGTAAATGTTTTCCAGACAAAGGCCCTCCTGTGATTGCAGCATGCAAAATACAGGCCATCATCATAATCCCTAGATGCAACCCGAGAGACAGGAATAACCAACTCTCAATATGTTGTTCATTGACATTGGTTTTTATTGTCTTCAGTGAATTTGTGGTAATTCTTGCTAGACATGTTTTAAAATCCATGTTATAAATGCATTTTCTGTATATCATTCTTCTTTTGCAGTTCAGAAATTGCTGCACAAAATATATTTGATATAACCAAGCACATTCTTAGATAGCCTCGTCTGTGAAACCTTTTAAGTTTCACCGAGACCGGTGATGGAGACCATACAGATGTTCTGAACAGTCCGGGCAATCCACAAGGCTGGGGTTCACCGCTTTAATCTCTTAAGCAAACAGAGAAGAACACACGGCAGCACACTCCCTTAGGCTGGGTTAACATTGTGGATATGCGTCAGAGCGGCAGCACGGTGAGAGAACATGGCTTTGCCCAGACAAACAGCCTGATGAAAGGTTTTGTCCTGTGGGGAGGGCTGGGGTTGTGGGTCTCCTAGGCTGGACCTGGAGTCGCCCTGTTATATAATGGGGTGTGTGATGGTTTCAGGAGCTTTTGTAGGTTAATATGAGAGTCCACCTCTTTATTATATTATCGGTTTTAACTTTACTGTCATACTTGCATTCCAAGATAGTACAACGTGCTAAAAAATGAACCACATAAGTAATAGTTAAAGGAATAATGTGCACAGTTATTTTAAGAAGCTGGATAATTTGTTTTAGAACTGTAGATTTTTTAAATTAAAATAATAATCTAGGTATATTTTCACAAAACCTTCAGTCTTAGATTTATTTATTTGATTATTATCATTTATTGTTTCATTATTATTAGTTGAGGAGGGAGACATTCACCTGAAATTTATGGGTGCAGTATTGTGCAGACTAAGCCACTGTGTTCACATGAGAAGGTAGTTATTCGATTTTATCTTTATGACTTTATGCTCTGTGAGATATTGGTGTCTTATGCTTGAATTGTGTTTTGTAATACAGATTTCTGTTGTGTTGAAAATGTTTGATTGTAAACAGCCCTTTTTAATTAGTAATATATTATTTCTCTGATGTTCTACATGCATATACTGTTGTTGGCTTTATATTTGCGAGTGTGAGTGTGTGTATAAGGCATGCAAACCTACCTGACACCCCCATCAGTGAAAGAAGACTAGGAGAGGCAAATAACAAAAAAGGCACTGGACCTCATTAAATGGTATTATTTGTCAGTGGGAGCATTTACAGCACAAGTGTAAATGCAGGTGCTGTAAATGTATGATAACACATTTAATTGATTTTTGGACAGAGAAAATTAATCCCCAACTATATACTTAAAACGCATCTCTAAGTTTGAAGTTGTTCACGTGACTGCTGTTCTTAGACGCACTACTAATGAAAAGAGTGCATCATCATTATTCACATTTATTGTCCATTACAACAACAAAATTACAATGAAATCATGATTCAGTGTATGTTATACTATAAAATCTACAGGGGAAAAACTGCACCAAGTGGGAATAAGGATAAAATAAGTGCATTTATTGCACTTGGACTATTTTAATATTTGAACTTAGCAGCTTAAACAGCTTTAAATGGCAAATTTGAGTTGTGTTTTTAAGACACGATGTAAGCTCAGGCAATATTGCATTAAGTTAACGCATTCTTATCCACATGACTATAATAATCTGTTTGACTGTTTGGTTACTTAACTTCAGCTTCTGACAGATGTGATGGACATGAAATGTAGTTTGCTGTGACCCCACCCGTTGCCTAAGACAGCTTCGTATGCTTTATGGCAGGGAACAATTAGTGCTGAGTAATTTCTCAGATGCTCGTTGTTACTGGAGCTCAGGCTCATAGCTCCCATAGTTGGCTTATGCATCATGATTTGACACCTGTACAACATTTACTGTGGAATATTTGTTCATGAGCCTCTTATCTCTGTGTTTGTACTGGTGGATTAGAAGTATGAGTTATGCAGCTGATAGGTGACTCTACTGTCAATATTTGTAATCAAGAACGTTTTATAACGCGTTGTTGTGCTTCGGTGGCCTAAATGATTGAGTTCATCATGGGTGGGTATTGCGTTGTATAATGCTGTTTTCAAGAATGTCATTTTGACTAACAGTGAATACAAATAGTTTTTGATCACTTGTTTTTTTTTGTAAACTTAAAGTTCTAATTATAATTTCCATATTAACGTGTTTTAATTGTAATGTGTTAAATGTTGTAATGTCCCCAAGTGACTATATCGTAGTGACTATATACTGTATGTATTGTGTGTTTAGACAAGTTTGTTTTTTTTAGGGGGAGGACAAAAAAACAACATTATTTTCACAAATAGTTGGAGCTCAGATGTGGAAAAAGTCAGTTACTGACATGTAAAAGGTGGACATGTTGCTTTGAGTGCCAGTCAGCAGGTATGAAAGTGCTCTGGGCAAAAACGTAACGGTATGTGACAGACAAAGATGGCAGCTCCTACTTCTATTACATTATACAGTACATCATATATTATATACTGTACCTTATGTATTTTATATGCCAAAATGACAGGTGCATCGATCAGAAACAAACAGCTGCATAGATGTGTTAACATAACCCATTTTTGTCGCTGAGTTTAAAATGGTCATTTGGTTACCTTGAAGTTAAAATGCAGTTTTTCATGAATTTTATGTTATTTTGTCTGCTCTTTGCACTCATGCAGTCACCCAGCGTGCAGTTTCCTGACCTTAATTGTCATCTGGGTGAGGGCTGGTACTCTTGCTCTTGGTGTTGAAGGTACTTGAGTTTAGCATCACTGCGTATATGCTAGGGCCTCCACAGCCAAGGGCCCTGGAGCCATGCATTGATGCTGCCATGAGAGGCCTCCACCTGTCTGTTATAGCACAGTGTGGAGACGCAAATGACAGCTGGACATGAGAGTAGGGCTTCAGCCAAGGCAAATGAAGAGCTCTTCTCTTTTGTCTCTCCTATGTACTTCTGGCCGTGCCAGAGAGAAACGGCTCTCTCCAAACAAATGCAAACAAATTAGATATTTGCATTTGAACACTTGATTTTTAACCATTTGGAGGCTGCACACAGGTGGCGGGTGGCTTTGTATGTTGTATGTGTTGCAAGATGAGCTCTTCAACATTAGCAGTGGTAAATGTTGTGTATAATTACTTAGTAAAGATGAATTTGCTACAAAAAAAGGAAAACTCCAGTCCTTTTGTGTTAAGAAACTAATAAACAACACAACATGTTTGGCATTGTAACTTTTAATCCTTCTGCCATACTAATGATTCGTCGTCGTCATTTAACACATTTCCCCCTTGTGGTTTTGTTGACTGATTTTGGATCAGTATATTAGTGGATTTAGATTTTTTTTTTTCTTCTTCAATGAAAAAAATGCAAGCTAAGGACCTTTGGTTCAGATATTCTATTTCTCTTCAGATTCCGTCTTTAGGCAACTAAAGCGGAAATATCAAATGAAATGCATGAGGAAAAAGTTTGCAGTGCACGGTGTATAGTTAGAATTGGTGAGTGAATTAATCTGGACTGCATTTTCAAAAGTTTTTTTTTTAAAGTGAATTTAAAAAAATATCCTAAAAATGCATAATATTTCACAAGAGTCAGTGTATTTTTTTTTTATAGTCTATCAACTGTATTACTATTTCAGGCTGAGGATTTCATTTATATTTGAATTTGAGTCTCTTGCTGTTTGTGTGCATGTGCTCTGGCTGAGTCCGGCCACTGTGAAGAAAGTGAAGGCATCTTGTTTGCATTAGAAGCTCCAGGGGCTTGGTGAGGATGCAAAGTTCTGACGGTTGACTTGCTCCAAACCCGGGCCAGTTTACATAACTGAAGCACTGCACTGCCCGAGGAGCCTGCCGTTAAATCAGTGTGCGAGTGTGAATGTGTTTCTCTCGCACAAATGTGACGTAAACAAGATGGATGAACGAGATGACGATGAACATGGTTTTTTTGTAATATAAGTAAATGTAGGTTCCTTTTATTACAATGTCAAGTTAAAATAATACTGGATTTTACATTACTATCATTGGAG